CAAGGTTAATATTTGGTTTTTCAAATGTTTTTACTTAGAGAGCATGTAAATATATATATACATATATGTATATATTATTAATCATTTTATTGGGGGGCTCTTACAAATCTTAAAACAATCCATCATTCAATTGTAGTAAGCATACTTGTCACCAAAAAAAAACACTTGTACATATGTTGCCTTCAACATTTCCAAAACATTTTCCATCTACTTAAGCGCTTGGTATCAGCTCCTCTTTTTTCCCTTCCCTCCCACCCTTTTGAATCCTTGATCAATTTCCATATATGCTCGAGTATAAGACGACCTGATTATCAGCCAAGGCACCTAATTTTACCACAAAAACTGCATAAAAATGTGCTGAAAAACTCGACTCATACACGAGTATATATGGTACATATTATATTGTTATTTCCTATGTTACACCATCCATTGTCCCCCTCGGGGGAAGAGGGGGAGACTACATATCCAACCTTGTGATCGGTTTCCCCTCTCTCCCATTTCTCCCCCCACCTTTCCCCTACCCTCATGATATCGCTACTTCCACTACTGTTCCTGAGGGGTTTATCTGTTGTGGCAGTTACATATTCTCCTGTCACCTTGAGCCAAGGAGTCTAGCCTGTCAATCAAGCCACAGCTTGATGACCTCATTTGGAGGCAAGACAGTGATAAATAGCTCACTGGAGGTCAGTCCTAGTCTCTCTGCCTTCCTGTCCCTGCTGTTGAGACACTCAAGAGAACTGGAGGAACACATGGAGACTCAAGCATTGAGATGCTTCCACTGCCACTGGATCCACAGGACCGTCTACCCACGGGGCTATGATCTTTCTGCATTCAGCATCATTGCATGTGATGTGTGAGTCTAAAGAGGAATTTATGGACTGGGATAATATCAGACTTATGGACTTGATCTGAACTAGGTTGAGATGTTTTGTCAATATTACAATTACTCTTAGATATAAAACTCTCTTACACACACAAGTGTCTCTGGTTTTGCTTATCAACCCAGACTAACATATCTGTCCTGGATTCCATGTGTCGAGAGCTCTTATCTGTAACAATGTGCATACTCGGGTCTAGCCCGAGCTATAAGATAGAACTGGGTCATGATAGTGGGGAGAAGGAAGCATTCAGGAACTAGAGGGATGTTGTGTATTTCGTTGGTGCTATAATGCACCCTAGAGTATGTAAAATATATTGAGACAAAGTTTCACTGCCTATAAGAAATAGGATAATGTGAGAGTATTCCTCAAAATCCATAAACAAACAAGAAGGCGATGCCTACAATGAATACCAGAATACATTAAGATTAAAGAACAAGAAAGCAACCTTTAAAGTGGCTTAGAATATTTCTCCCTACAGCTGAATTTTACTATTAAAATAATCTTGAGAGAAGAATCAAATTGTAAAAAAGTATATGCATACAGTTCCTATAAATCTGAGGAGAATACTAACAAGAGAAAAATTAAAGTTTTAAGGCATGATCAGCATCATAGGCACTGAAGACATAGAAAGCTATTAGTTAAATTCTCAGTTATCCCTCTGTCAGCACAGAGGTGCCCCCTATAGCTTCAGAGGCTGTAAATCTTTATGGGAGTGGAGAGCCTTAGCATTCTCCTTCAGAGAGGCTGGTGAGTTTGAACCCGCTTAAGCCACTGAGCCACCAACCAAAGAAAAAACCAAACTCACTGCCACAAAGTCAACAGTGATTCATAGTGAACCTATGGGGCAGGGCAGAACTGGCCCTGTGCATTTCTGAGACTTTAAGAAGTAGGATGGTCTGTCTTTCCCTTACTGAACTACTAAGCCCCCTAGTACTGCCCCCAGCTTAAAGAAGCCAAAACTCTGGTTAAAATCAAGATACATAACCTTGAACAAGTGTTTCGAAGAATTTTATTACACTCAGAACTATTGAGATTTAAGTGATTGTTTTTCTTAATCCTCTCATGCTCCTTTTTTAATGTATCAAAATTGCCTGTGCTAAAAGGGAACAGAAATCACAAAAGCATTGCCCACAAAGCTAATCTTTCAAAAGCTGCTAGTTTTAACTAGAGTTTCAGTGTATTCAGAATTTTCAATTAGAAAGATGAGTGAACTATTAACTAGTATTAGTTTCACCCAAATTTAAGAGACAGTTTTAGCAAACCTTAAAAAGTAGATATAAGAGATGATTTGCCTAAATCCAACTCTAATATTCTTACTTGTCACTGGAAATACCCTTTTGAATATTAAAAAAAAAAAAGCAACCCCAGAAAGTACATTAGTGCTTGAGCATGAATCAGATGTTTTGCCAAGAGACAAGATCTCTAGGATTAGATTCAATGCCTGGCTTTTAAAACAATGGTCCTGGACATGTGACCAGAGATAGATAATTCATCAATATAGTAGAAAAGGTCGGGCTTTTTTTTTATATTCTTAATGTCCATAGTACTTACATATAAAAATAACCTAATCGTGTTACTAAATAAGCTCTATATGTTATTACTTGTTGTGATACATCATCTCCAGCATTTTTATAACGGAACCGAGGAAGTAGGTCAGACTGCATAACTTTTCACTGTACAAGAGGGTTTCAAAAGTTCATGGAAAAACTCCATTATCTTTTCATTCTTTTACCATCAACTTTCATGAGCCCTCTGGTCTTTCATCAGAACCAGACATTTACATCAGAACAGAGACCCAAAAATGTCAAGGTGTCATAGATAGATCACAATTTTTGTACTTTTGCTATTTCTGAATGAAGTTTATTGCCTCTTTTTAAAATACACAGTATGATGTACACCAAACACCATAACAAATCTAAGTATGCTCTAATGAAGGTAATTCAAAAGGTTTGTGGAAAAATTCCACTATCTTTCAGTTCTATTTTAGCATTAACTTTTTTAACTTCCCTCATATATAACATTCTGTACTTTCAAAACTTAAAACAATGAGGATATTAAATTCAATATTAGATTATACACCAAGATAGTTAAATAAGTTATGAAAAAAATCAAAATATTTAAAGAAAAAATTTAAATATTTTATCATAAATTTTAAAAATGTATTTTTTAAGTTTATGGGAAATAGAAACTCTCAAGAGTTGGTGGTAGAGAATAAAATTGTCAATCAACAGATGTCTTACCAATGTAATGAAATAAAGATCTAAATTTTCTCTCTACCAGGTAATCACTTTAGAAAACACCTTCAGTATTGATCCAGTGAATCTTTATTCTCAAACCCACTGCCATGAAGTTGATTCCAACTTATAACGACTCTGTGAGGGCAGCGGAGAACTTGCCCCACAGGGTTTTCCATGTCCATAAATCTTTATGGAAGCAGAATAAGACCTCTCTCACCATGGAGTCACTGGGGGGTCTTTCAGTTCACAGCTGGCTACTGTAACCACTGCACTGACAGAGCTACTTAAATCCTTAAGACCCTACAACATGCTAGACAGTTTTCTACATACTGGAGATGAGGTGGTGAAATAGGAAAATAGGATCTCTAGCCTAATGAAACTTACATTCGAGTGGTAAAGTACAGGCAATAAACACACGTGTAAATTAGCAGATATTACAGAGAAAATGTTATTGGAGGCTGAAGAGATAAAAGTGACTGCATGACAACTTGAGTTGGATGGTCCATAAAGACTTGAGGAAATATTTTAGCTGCATTCAAAATGACAAGAAAGCACCTATCGCTCTAAGATTAGAACCTAAGCATTCCCAGCAGAGGAAGCAACATCTACAAAGCTCTCCCTAAAAAACACTATAACTATAAGTTGGTTTGAAAAATTGACAGAAGGCCATTATATCTGAAAGGGTGAATGATAGAGGGAAAGAAAGGAAAAAGTTGAAACTGGATCACATGGGCTGAGGGGGAGTTTAGACTTTTTCTAAGCACAAACTGCTGAAATGAGACAATTCAGGTAAATAGTAGCTTTAGCTATCAGCAACTAGGAAAATATGATGTATTTCAAGGCACAAACTGGGGTGTTTCACAAAAAGTCATTTGTTTTGAACACAATCTTGGGAGGTAACCTTAGTTAGGCATACAGTATTAAGTTCTTAAACTACTAATTTTTTTTAATAGAGCCAGTCAATAAGAAAGTTAATGCGGTCTGAAAAGTGCAGGTATCAAAGTTCAGTTTTGATTGCTGCCCCTCATTGTGTGCTATGTAGGCTTCTGTGGTAGTTACATAATCTGGTGTCAAGTTGAGACAAGAGTGAAGGGTGGAGTGTTAGCCTGTCTGTCAGGTCCCAGTTTGACGACCTCATTTGGAGGCACTATGGAGATAAATAGTTCACTTGAGACTAGATCAATACTCTCTGCTTCGTCTTCCTACTGACAAGACACATGGAGCTGTGCTGATGGAGCTAGAGGAGCCACCTGGAAACCCCTGCCAGTGCTGATATGCTGCCACCACCACTGGGTTCACAAGACTTTCCACCCAACTACCCTGTGATCTTCCTGCATTTGGCATCATTTCATGTGTTTCTTGAGTCTGAAGAAGAATTTATAGACTGGTTTCAGACATATGGGCTAATATTAGACTTATGGACTTGATCTGAACTGGGCAGGGATGTTTTCTCAATATACAATTGCTCTTTTATGTAAAGATCTCTCTTATACACTTATGAGTGTCTATGAATTTGTTTCTCTGGTCAACCTGGACAAGCACAGCGTCTTTCAGACAGTGTGCCATAGCCTCTTAGAGTTCCTTCAAACACGTTAAATGTTTAATTTACCCTACCTTTATTTCCCTTATGAAAGTAGTTTCCAAACCCCAAGAATTGAATAGATCTCTCATTTTCATTGTACTGTCACTGTCAGTTTACTTCTGCTTCTCCCACTCTAGCAGTAGCTCCATGATGAGTAAGACTAGTTTTCATAACCATACATATTGCAGAGTATTTTAGTTTTTCACTATATAATTTAGAAGGATCAAAAAATAATAATAATTTAGAAGGATCTATTTTGAACCACAGAAGTTCATTAAAAAACAAAATAAAAAACTATACCTATTTGTTTTGAAGCCTGTAATATATCTTTTAAATCTTCGTTTACACTTTGTACTTCATCCTTATCCAGATTTTCATTCAAAAATTTTACAATCTTCTTCCACGTCAGTCCCAAATCTGAACCTTTTGAATAAAGTTTGGATCGCTTAATCTGAAAAAGATGGCATAATAGAAAGAATTAAAGGTCCAGGTTTTTCTCAGATCCATCATTTAACAAATAAATTTTGCTATTATACTAAACAAGATGACACCACTTACAAGAATTCATGTCTATCTACTTACTTCCAAATCTATGGGTCCCAAAAGAAATTTTATTTAAATATGTTTAACAAAAATATCGCTTAAAGGATGTTTATTAAAAGATTCTCTATTTTTAAGAACTTTAATCACAATCCCTAATCATTATAAAATAATTTTCACACAGCAAAAGAAAAAGCATAAAGTTCAACAGCCAGACAACTGGTAGCATCCCACATGCCTCTTTCCATTTTCCTAACTGCTCATTTTTAACACAGCTCAGATCAAAGCATACTGTAGACCTCCACTGTTTTTTTTTGGGGGGGGGGGTAAGCATTTAGAGAAAATGAGATTTCCACGACATACCTAATATATTCACATCAGCATTGCTTTTATAGGAATAAACCCAATAAGACATATAGGAAAATTTTAAATCTATACAACTCTTTTCTATGTATCTTTCTACTCGCAAGGACTGACCATGAAATGAATATTTATTTTATTTCATAGAAAAATTAATCTTACTCGATTGTATTAAGAACATTGCATAATTCATATGCATATGATATTGCATAATCCTCTGCCTCGGTTTCGTAATTTAAAACAGCAAATCAATCTGGACACAGGAGGATGATGAGTGATGCTAGAGTTAAGAGTGGTCTTGAGTTGAAGTATTAAACTTAAAGTATAACAAAAGTGTAATTTATACACTAAAATTCACACACACACACACACCCTTTTCCCTTTTGCATATGTTGAACATTTTTCAAGATAAAAAGTTAACTTAAAACAAAATAAGTTTACAGTACTTATATTTTCCAGAAAGTCTATAAGAATAAATGATATGATGAAATGATATATTCATGTAGGCTTTATGCAATTTCAAATTTCCTGTAGCATGTATCGAGAGAGAGACTGAGCTTTCTACCCGAAATAAACAGTTAGTCTTGGGAACCTGCCAGGGGTCACCACTAAGCGTCAGCATTGCCTCACACTGCCAGCACGGTCAGTGAATTTGGTTCGGTTTTGGTAGCATGTATAACACAAAGTAACTTGTAAATGACCTTTGAAGGGGAGATGACTCAAGTTTAAAGTGTCAGTAATATTTAACTATATGTAATATAGCCTTATTTTAGTTGCTGTGAAAACTGAAAAACAACTATCATCATAAAGAAGGTAAACTGTGTCTCTAGAATAATAGCATTATGTCACTTTGGGGGAGAAATTTTCTCTCATATAAGGACTGCTATAAATCTTTTCTTCCTAGCACCAGTTTGCAGTGAAGTTACTGATTATAAAATTGCATATAAACTTATTCAATGTATACAAAAATGATGTTATATATCAAATGATTCTGCAATTAAAATGCTATCCTTTACTCACCCTCTCAAAAGAGAGCATACTGACAATCACTTCATTGAAGTTCATAAAACTTCAGGTCTACAAAATTCACAACATTCTGGTCAAGCTTCTACAATGTTTACCCCTTTTTGATACAAAGTTAACTTAAGCAATTTAAAAATAGGTATTTCTTTACATGTTAAAACTACCTAAAGATGGCATGATTGGCACTGGTTGCTCTTCTGTCTCCCATGCCTTTTAAAATTTCATAAGTAAATACTGAAAAACTGCACCCAAAAATGACACAATTTTTTAAATAAAAAAATAACTTCTTCATCCAAATGAAAATATCCTCAAATTTACAAATGGATCAGAAAACACACATCTAAGATATTTCTAAGACTCTTCTAATATGTTATAATCTCAAACTCAAATGTTTCTGGAAGCCTTAATAGTATATAATTTTATTTATAATGTTGTTAACTGAATGTCAAACTACATATTATTTCCTACTTTAATAAGATAAACATAAATGCATGTACATCTCTTTTCCAAATGTGTCCTGATAGTTTAAAAATACAATCATTAAATCTGGGTAGGAAACTACACATTCCAACAAAAGACGCTATCTCTCATTCTACCGGAACTTTATGAGGAGCTTCCAAAAGTGCATGGCAAAATTCCTACTATTTTTGATTCAATTTTCCACTAATTTTGGAAAACCCTTCATATATTTATAGCAGGAATCATAGTTGTATTATTTACTATTAAAATTGACTTGTGCAGAAAATTTTCCCATACATTAATACAAAGCAAGACTGTCTTTATTACAAAATCCAAAATAGAATCTATAGTTCATGGGAACTTTTGCTTCTTGAATAAAAATCACTGCCATAGAGTCAGTTCCCACTCAGTGATGCTTTCCAAAGCCGGGGATCTTTATCCCAGAGCACATAGACTCACCTCTTTCACTGCATGACTAGTAGGTTGGAACCACTGACCTGTGGTTAGCAGCCCAACACACACCTGATAACACCACTTCTACATCTTACTAAAACTTAGTTCTGAAGGGTCAGTCATAAAGTAGCTATTGAAATAAAAAGTATGCTTAAATTTTAAAATACCTCTCTTACCAGGATTAAGGACAGGTCAAAAACCAATTATGCGATCACATAAACCTAAAAGATTCCTATTGCTATTCACATTTTCCATGTTATATTACAGACAAAACTTCCATTCATTTCATACGAAAGTTATCAGAGACCTAAAACTCGCTCAGAGGTAAATTACTAGATCAAATTCTGAAATCAAGTGTACCAGAGCCTATATTAACAAAAAACAAATTAGCAACCATCAATAACTCATTATCATAGTTCTTATTACTACCTTCAACAATACAGCCAAAGCAGCTTAAAGCAAGCATTGCATGCAACATCAATATACCCATTCCCTTCCTAGCTTAATACTTAATTAGATAACTCTTTCATTCCAAGCATATTTAACTACGAAAAAGAATGTCAAATATTTGTCGATACTCTGTGGTTTTCATCAGAAAAAATTTACCTTCAATTCTGCCTCGTCTTCATTATAATTATCTTGTTTGGTGACATTTGAAAAGGAGCGCAAAGCTCCTGTGAGGCGAGGTAAAGCCATCTATTCCGTAATCAGTGATCCATAGAATGCAACACCGGAAACTGAAACAAAGCAGGATGATATTTTTTTGTTTATTTGTTTGGTTGGGGGGCAGGGGGAGGATAATCAAACCATAAATTGAACAGTACAAGAGAAAAATGAAGCCAACTAGTTAAAATTGGCTAATAGGCTTGAAAAATTATACCACCACATTTACTATCTATGAAGTACTTTTGTTTATAAAAATAATTATAAACCAGCATAAAGCACATTTCTCCAGTAGCATTCCCTCAAACTGAGTTGGTACAGTCTCTTCAGTTAAAACCTCAAATACTATACTATTACTCTTAATAATACTGAAAGAGGTATAGTGCTTGCCTATTTTTTTTCCATTTCTGTTTACGCTCACAGATCTCATCTCTTAAACCTTTCCACATGCCATCAGAGTAACACTCTCTGTTGAGGCACCATATGCAGTACTGGTTCCTTCTACTTAAAATGCTCTTTCCCATGATGCTAATATAACTGGTTCTTTAACATATATAGACTTTTCCTGATTTCCTTATGTAACACAGGATAGCTTCACAATAACTGGATATCAAATCATAAAATGTAAGTTTTCTTTGTAGCACTAATAAAGGAGGTCTGGTAATGCACTGAGTTGAGAGATACTGTAACCACAAGGTCCCCGGTTCAAACCCACCAATCACTCCACAATGGAAAAATGAGGCAGTCTGCTACCATGAAGATCAGTCAGCTGGGAAACTATGGAGCACTCCTACACTGACCTATGGGGTTGCTATTAGTCAGAACCCACTCAATGGCAGAGGGTTTGGTTTTTAGGTATAGCACTAATATGTAACTGACATTTTCTTATTTACTTATGTATGCATTGTTTTACCCCACAAAAAGTAAATTTACTGATAAAAGTACTTATCCATTGCTCCCTCCTAGTGAATAGAATAGTACTGAAAATATTTTAGGCACTCTATAATTATTTGTTAAATAAATGGAGAAAAAAATCAAATAAAAGTGGTAATGGTAACTCAGAAATTATGAAACAAAGGAGGGAGGAAAAGAAAGTAACAGCCTACCTAATGTTCTTATTAATATGCTAACAGCTAACCTCTAAGCAAATAGATTAACAATATTAACAATAAGGAGCATTCCTATCTATGATATACTCTTAAAAGGTTGTCCCTTGTATAGGATTGCTTATTACAACTTTATTGTCTATAATAGATTTTTTTTTTTGCCTTTTTAAGCCTAAGTTTTAAGTTTTGGGTTTTTTTTAATCATTTTATTAGGGGCTGATACAACTCTTATCACAATCCATACATACATCAATTGTGTAAAACGCATTTGTACATTCATTGCCCTCATCATTCTCAAAACATTTCCTCTCCA